GGAAAATTTATCTCAGCATCCCCCACTTTTACGATACTGTTAGATACGCCAAACACCTCTAACATATGGCCTCCTATCGTGTGGACAGCTAATGTACACGGCTTGATTCTCTTACATTGCTCTTTGCCTATTAACGATACTGCTGCACCTGTATCGATCAGACAAACTAAATCTCGCTCATTTATGTTCACTCTCGTATATACTGCCCCTCTGTCTACTAACGCAACAATCCCCAGATTCCTGAGATAAAAAGAACACTCGTTGTAACGTCTAACATATCTGCGTCTTCGTCTTGTTGGACAGTTTATCTTCCAATTTCCTGTCCCTCCACAAGCGTAACATTTATCGTTCCTTTTATTGTTCACTCGTATTGCTGCAATCTCACGCTCCAGCTCCTCAATCTTCTTCTCGACATAACTCATCTCCTGCTTTTTCGCACCCGACCGGAGCTACCGTTCGCGTCATCAGCTGACGAGTCACCTTCGCCAGTTCACTGATATCCAACGGTTGCGCTGCGTTCACGAGTTTTAGCTGTTAGGAGACGGTGGCAGGCACACTCTCGATAAACTGTGACGCTAACTGTGCCTCCGACTCCTCATCCAGACTCGGCAGCGCACGGCGTAACAACCTGGTAAGCTCCACAGCCAGCACCAGTGGGTCACCATCGACCGGCAACCTCGCCAACCGGAGCTTCTGCAGCGCGTCCTCTCTGTCCACTGGGCCGTCGAACTCCGTCACCAACCGCTCCGTGACTGTCTTCCATGTCGTCTTCCCGCCAGCAACGTCCAATCTGTCATACACAGCCTTCGCTCCGCCTCTCAGCAGCGTCCCCAGCACCACCAAATTCGACTTCCGCCCCTTCACTCCCACCAGCTGCGCCACGGCCTCAAACTCCTCCAGGAAGCGCAGAACATCTCCGCCCTCAAACTTCTTCGGCCATGGAATCTTCATCCTTAGCGGAGGCAGTGACACCAAATGTAGTGAAGGGGAACAGGGGTGAGCACAGCCAAATTCTATTTAGGACAGATTACAGAAATACTTGGTAATATGGAAAAACCAAATATTAAATCGTTAATTTGCAAAATATCATTCAATCATATCAAACCGGACTGTTGCTGTTGCAAAAATCAATCCATTGTCTCACATTTCATTGTTCATGCGATTTTTTACAAATTCCATTGTGTTCACGGTCTTTCTTCCTTGATCTTCTCCAACATCTACTGACAAACATTACGTACTTCTACCTCGCGTTATATACTAATCATATCAATATAAGCAGAATGAACCACAATACTACTGGTGATTACGTGGATTGAATGAAGTGCGCTCGATTGGATGGATGTGAATTAATTTATGTTCCAGTGAGTGTGTGTGGGTGCGTTAGTATGGTATTGTCTGATTGGTTGATTGATTGACTGATTGAGTCAGTGAGTGCGTGAGTGAGTGAGTGTGTTTGGGAAGGAGAGTGTGAGATAGTGTTTGAGTGTGTGTGGGTATGTGTGTCTGTGAATGATATTGTGTGTTGTGTTGACTTAGTATTTGGACAAGTGGATTGAATTGTTGATGGAGAGAATGCATGGGAGACTGATTGGATGAATGTTTTGATGAGTGGTTGTGCGAGTGTTTGTACGAGTGTTGGTAGGAGTGGTTGGACGAATGTTTGGATTGTTGAAGGTTTAATCTATTTGACAGATTGATCGATGGATTTATTGATTGATTGACTGATTTGTTGATTTGTTGAATTTTTGAATGATCGACTGATTGATTGAAGGACTGATGTGATGATTGATTGATGGATTGATTGATTAATAATTGGTGTTGGATTTCGTCCATTGTAGCTGAGACCACTACTGGCACGAACGAAGTGACGACGGAGACCGAGATTACGGAGACCGACACTACGGGAACTGAGGTTATGTTGACGGAGAGTACAACAGGTGAGTGTGTTAGTTGATTGTGTGTATGCAATGTACGCAGTGTTGTTTGTGTGAGATGTGTTTGAGTTAGTTGTGCACAGAACTGATAGTGGTGGTGATTTGGTGAATTGAGTTTTGTCTACTCGAGTATATAGCGTTCGTTTTTTGAATCCTTTTTGTACTTCCGCCGGCTATTTGATTATTTCTTTATGGTTTTTTATGGTTCTGTTCTGTGCCTCCATTGCCTCGCTTGTATGTTTTCTTAATTTCTGTCATTGTTTTTTTTGTCGTGCTTGTTTTTCGTTTTCGGATATGCATTACGCTCTTTGGTTTAGATCATTCTGTTTATTCTTTTCGAACCCATTTGTCCAGTTCACTTGTTTGCCTATTAACCTGATTGTTTTTATTTGTTACTATGTTTGTTATTCGCTGATCCTATTCTTCATCGATCTGTATTCTATTTTCGTTGGACTTTAAATATCGATTGACGCTTGGTTCAAGCGAGTTGTCTCATTCACCTTGTCCGCTGCGCATCATTTCGTTTCGTCTCGCTCTCTCCTCTTCACTTTCTTCGCTTCGTTTCTCTGATCATTTGTCTGGATCAATGATTGTACGAAACATGCATACTTAAAACTCGTTCTCGTATTTGACTCATCAAACTCGGTTATTCACTAACGCGAGTTAATTCGATGATAATATACGAGGGCTGGCCGTATGTATATTTCGATGACAATCATCACACGATATAATTGGAGTCAGATATCAGGCCACCAAAAGTGGTGAGCTCGTCGATAACAACATCGTCCGATCTAGTTGTCGTCAAAATGAAGGGCCACTCAACGTGACCAGCACGACGACGAACCTAACGCAGCCAAACTACGTCGATGATGAACCCTCTACACTCCATACTTTCAATGTACGAACTCAACGTAGCTTGCTCAATCGATAAACAACACAGTTTTCGACCATACGAGCAAATCGGAGAGAGATCACAACACCACTAAAGTGGTAGGCCCGACTTCGAACCTAACGCAACCTGGCAAACTAGTCGGACGATGATCGTCTCGAACTCTACGCATCCGTTAATCAAACTAAGTAACTGAATTGGTCTAAGAGACACTCAAACTACTCAATCTCTAATCCGACACATTCGGCGAAGCCGGTACGGTGGGGACATGGATATGATCAAGTCGTATGACCTTATTGACACTTTGTCCTCGTGTCACCTCTGCTCACTGAACTGTTTAGCGCATCGTTCCATTATGATTATAATAATTATCATATTATCATTATCACATTAATGTCACACCACCACCTAACGTGGAATTATTATTGCTGTTCGTGCTGATATTAGATCATGACATTTAAGCAATCATATCACACTCCCCATCAAAGTGTAATTTTATGAACATTTCATTTACGTTGTGACAGTCGAAACTCGTTGCATAATTCTTTGATTTTTCAATAACGTAAAATTTTGCTGCTTTATGTGAGTTTGTTCCATTTTCTCCGCGTCATTTTTGCCCTGTTATTACACTCATTCTTTGATTTTTTCAAGGACGACACTCTCATGATATTATTTTCTGTTTTTCTATTAATACATCTTACGCACACTTCATCTAAGTTTTCGAACTGCTGTTGTCTATTGAACTGTCTGAAATTAATTCGACATCAGTGTTATATATTTACGATTTTCTTGCTGCAAGTTTAGCTACATTGTTGTCTAAGTCGGGAACGTTAATGTAGTTTGCTACTGTTGTTCTCGTCATCACTATTATTGCTTGATTGGTATTTATGTTGGAATTCAAATTCTTCAATATATCAGATTGTACCAATATCATATCGCAAATTGTGCCACGACACATTTGCTGCAAGGTTTTGGTTGATGATGATTGACTGACAAGGTGATCTAATCTAGTTTATTACACCGTCATATAATAATGAAGAGACACATTAATGTGATGAGAAACTGGCTGGTGAAATATGTTTAATTTAGGTCGTATACAGAAATATGTTGAATGCAAAGGCGAATCTACAGAAGCGATTGGAAAATTGGAAATCATTAGAAACAGACCTGATGTGAGCAGTAGATTATGTGAAGTGACCTGATTGAGGCATTCAGTGATTTGACCTTCTATTCACTCCAAATTGTTTACTCCTGAATTCACGTTTTCATCATTTGTGTGCTTATCTAAATTCAAGTTCCTCTCTCCAATGTTTTGTGTTTGTGTTTCTGCTTGTCTATCTGCATTGCATGTAACCAAACTCCATGTGTTCTTTTAATGAAAATTTTCTTCGTTATCTACTTAAATGTTTTATAGAAGGCAACCTCACGAAAACAGTAGTAATCGGTAAGTCAAAATATGATATAGCAGTTTGTTTTGTCACACCAATTTATTTTCCTGATTGATTGTTTTGATTCTGCTTTCCATTTCATTCATCAATATGTGGTTACATTGCATTACATAAACGGTTGGGTGAATTGTTCCTCTTGGAAATTCAGTGTAGCGAAGAGATGTCACATATAGTACGCTCATATATTGAAATTATTTGTCAATCAGTATTTATTGTTGAGTTTCTCAGGGTCGTCTGGTCGCGTTGGCCACTATCTATGTTAAACCGGAATGATTCATAATCTTTCCAAGTGGAACAATTTAATTGTATTCGTATAAAAGCTAACAAGTACTGAAATTTACTGTAACTGTGGAAGTCACGTTACATTTGTTTGCTGAGCGTCACTTCACTCACAATATTGTTACACTTATTAACCAATGTGTGTGGGTAGACATTACTACTTGGTGTAGAATTCTTTATTTTCATAACAAACCAAGAGCATATCGCATTCAGTGTGCATGGATGTGGGAAATCAAACAACCATTTACTTCATAGTGTCCATCACTTTGATAGATCATAATCGAATACACTTGGATTTGTGGTGTGGAGTTGAAGAGAGGTCGTTCAGTTTTGTTTTGTTGTGCAACAGTAAGTCAACTCAATATTCTCCTTTCACTGAGAAGTCGGATTTAAATCAACGAACTTTGACTTGTTGGAAACTATTTAATTTCTTTTGTAGCAGTCTCATCAATGCTGACTAGATCGAACAAGTCTTTGGAGTGGAATGACAGTTTATTGGATCCTAGTTCCGATTTATATCGAAATTATTCAGCTGAAATTTGTAATTTGGTAAGTTTGTTACCGAGTTCTCAATTGAATTTACATAAAAATGAGGAAAACTGATTAAATGTATAGACAACCTGTGTCTTTTGATAAAGGGTTGAAGTTTGACATTTGAAGACGGTTTTTGGAAATATATGTAGCTATTTAATAGCTATTTATAGAAGACAGAGTACTATTTAACTGTTTTCTCTAACTGTGACGAATAGTACCTGTAGAAATTCAAGATGTTGTTTGGGTAGACTCCATGATCATTGTTTTATGCAATTATGAATTTAACTCGTCGTGGTTAATGGTGTCCGTTCTTCACCATTTACCATGTAGATCATATCTCGTTTTACTCTACACAAACTGATGCAGTCTCAAAACACTCTATGGTCTCCAATCACTATGTTGTTGCAATCAAATAAAGGCGAATGTGCTTGTTTCGTTTGATTATGCATAGCATAATTACCAGAAGTGGTCAACATGCACGGGCACGATCCTGTAATGGATCAGTCGTTTTGATATTGTAAGTAGTGACAACTGAGGTTACCCAGTCGATAAATATATTTGCTAATCCACGAGTTTGGAAAACCAATTTGTTCTCCTTCCACGTGAATGTAAAACTTCGGTGCTATAAAACTCCACCAAACTACTTGTTCGACATTCATACAACAATGATTTATGCCGATGAGCTAATTTCATCTAACCTAACATGAATGGCACCATGGGGTAGCCTCACTGAGCTAAGTGGCAGTATAGCACCATCTGCCTGATGTTATACATTGTGATGTCGCATTAACTATCAACTGCGACTAACTCATTTATTCATTCATTACTGACTATTCCATTGAAAAGCCACCGCTCACATTTCTGTGGCTTGAGATGCTGATTGATATCATGTGCTAAGGTTACCAATCGGAATTCTAACTCTAATTTCTTTTCCATTCCGTGTTTACTATTTCCTCCATGACCCAGTGTCCAAGCAATGACCAACCACAGGCATGACCCTCACCGTCCACCTTGTGGCGATGCAAGCCAAGCTCCTATTTTTCCGCTACTCGTAAGCCCTTCTTTGCCTTCAAACTTGAGTCAAAGAGAGAAGTCAACAGACGGCCTCTATCATTCTTATACTTCAGGCATACGTGGAATCATATACAGTCGTGCTGGACCACATCGCACCACTGAGTGAAAAATCACAAGCATACATAGACAAGCCGAAAGTGTTTGTGAATAATGCAAGCCGTAAGTAGTAGACTGGCAAAAATCTGGGAGTGGAGAGTTGTCTATCAGTGGTTAACGGGTTAACCAAAAGCTTGTGGTTAACGTATTATATAGACACAGTAATCCAGTTGCTTAGTAATTATATAAGAAAAACATAGTTGATAGCAATAACAATATTCGTGATAACGATTCAAAAACCATTTTCCAAATTTCCAACTTTTACAATATTCATCCCGTTATAACACGCACGATTTTCTTCTCACAAAATCTTCAAGCTTTTGGACAGCATATATTCAACTAATATTGAGGGAATAATCAATGTTAATTGCACAGTTGTTGGCTTCTCGCGTGGATCAGTTGTTGGAAATGCAGTATTAGTCATCGACCATAGTAGCACAAGTGGGAATTTCTCATCGACTGAAGTGACAAAAGACACTGTTCGAAATGCTGTTGTGGCATACATAGCAGAAATGGTTGCCAATGGGTCGGAGCAAGTGTACTTCGATACATCAAGTGGCTTGACAGTAGAAAGTGAGTGTATGTGATATTTTCAAGCTATATTGAATTATTGGTGTTGGATTTCGTCCATTGTAGCTGAGACCCCTACTGGTGTGTGTGTGTTTGCTTGAGTTGAATGATTGTACTGGATGAGCGAAGTGGATGTGAGCACTAGATGGTGTGTGCATGTTGTTTGATGAAGTGATTGGATTGAGACGATGACTGATGACTGGTCGCATCTTCTTGTGACAGGTCAGTCACCTCACACACTGTGTGAGTGTTATGTGGTCTGTGAGTATGTGGTGGATTGGTGCGAAAGATAATTTGACGTTTGTGAAGTCCTTCATTCTGTTTAGGAATACCCTGTTGAATACTTTTCCTGGTTTTGAGCGAAGAGTGATGCTTCTTGAGTTCTCACATTTGCTGTGTCCGCCTTTCTTTGTTATCTTGATGAGATGTCCTTCAACACTATTTGTAGAGTTGGTTTATTGTTAAGGTGTAGTAAATTCCGCAAGCGTGTAGAAAGCAAGTACACAGGGAAACAAATAAGTGGTAAAAGTCCACATTTATTGTTGAATGTTAATCGATTGAGAATAAATTATTCATTGTCTTCGTTTACAACCAATGAGAGAATAGATCAAGATTGAAGACCAGACATTTTCTCATTCAGACTTACACAAAATTTTATATAGTGGATTAAATGTCTAAATTACAGCGAGTAGACAAATAATAAAGTAGTTGATTAGGCTTACTACAATAGTATTTAAGTAATTTCTATATCAGTACATTAAATAAACTCTTTTACAAAAATTATATTGACTATGTTCAAATTATCATGATTTATTATTATTGTAAAATATGTATTCATATTGTTTTTCAGAGACAACTGAATTAAGCAAAACGACTTTCAGTACGAAAAGTGAGTTGCTGTTTTTTTCTTCCTTGTTTATACTTTAAATATTAAGTGTATGTCAAAACTTTTAATTAGTCTTGTACTGACAGATTAATGTCGAAATTGTAAAATGACGATTTCTTATTTACGTCCTTTTCATTTCACAATATTCATTTAATCAAGTTATATTACTAAACTAAGCAAAAACTTTATAACACTATCAGTCAAATAGAATCAGATTTCATATTCACCTCATAATATTATGATTATTTCCCACAACTCTTAACCATTTGCATACAATTGGTCAGCAGATATTTTCATTAGTATCAATTGTGGTCATAAGTTCTACTCAGACATTTTCATCCAAGTGACGGGAATTCCCTGAGAGTCTATTACCAAGATTCCTTACTCTTTAAGAAGTTGAAAAGAGAATGAGAAAGGTTTTATGAAAAGAATGGTTGAGTCGAATGATCTCAAGTGGTTTATTTAGTTGATAAATTATAAAATAATAGGCTTAGATTAGATATCTGTCCAAAACTAAGATTGTGTTACGAAGAGACCAGTTAATTGTAAATTATTCAAAACTTTTGTGGTGTTTTATAATTTATCGATGACTTTTATCTTATTCAATCGATGGCACATCAAGCTTCTTCTATTATCTGACTATTTCACTCTTGTTAATAACATTTCCCCATAGGTTTACTAAAGGTGTTCATTTAGTATTACAGGATACTAAATAGATCACAGTGTTTAGTACCGGGTGATAGATCTAAAACTTTATCCAGGAATTTTACTGATATATTACCTAATTCATGAACCAACATCTTCAATGAATGTTTCTTCAAAATGTATCATCTATGTAAGAAGAGATTAAGATAATTTTAACATTCAAATTGTTGTCTAACGTAAAGGTTTAAGCTGTGATTTATGAAAATAATATTAACCTTTTTTTTTAAAACAAACAATTATTACAATCTATGCTTTAACTTACATTAAACAATCTTATCAACTTAAACCAGTATTAATATAAACATTTAAGTTGTTTAATTGCTACAACTGATCTTAAATTATAAATATAACATCCAGTTTTATTTTCTAAAAATGTTAAGAATGTTCAATAAGCTTCTTAAGAATACACTCGTTTTATTGCCTGCAAACACCGATTAACCTGAAGATAAATTTTAAAATAAATTATACATCCTCAGTTTTACTGCATTAGATTTAATTATACATCTTAAAGTGTGATCAATATCATTTTAGATATACTAGAACTATCAATGACAGTGGAGGTTTTAATAGGAAATCAACAAACAAATTGGAATTCGGAACTGTCTAACAAATTTTCTGAACTTTACAACAGTACTGCTGAAAACACCTGTGCTTCGGTATGCAATCATGTCATTTTATTTTATGTTCGTCTATTTTAGAACTGAATGTTTGACAGGTCTTTTGTGAGGCCAAAAGACCATTCTTACATCCTAATAAATTACATACTTATACTCAAGATGCAAATATGCTGTTCTCATGATTTATGAAAAAAGGCCTGTTTTGGTTTAAATAAAGTTAGGAATGTATTCGTTGAATTTTATGAAAAATTAATACCTTATCCAGTTTCACCTGTTAACATTGTTATTAAGAGCCAAGTAGTTTACAATACGAATTCATAATCAATATAAACAGTGAAAACATAAATATAGTTTATAAAGAATGTAATAAGCCTACTTATTGAATTGGTTTAAAATCCAACATTTTCATTGAATTTGTTTCCAATATTGCTTGAAAATCCTCCACTATGAAGGTCAATGTATATAAGACTCTAAAAATGAGTGTTGAATGGTTATTTTCAAAAGCAAGGGATCATGATATTCTTTGGTACAATAACCAATTTATTTTTCTTTTCATATTCACAAGACTTTTGGAAACGAATAAATTCAGTCTTTTTACTGATATATATTTGAATTTGTTACAGAAATAAAATAAAAATATAAATTTATTACAGGGTCAAAGTAACTTTACACTAAACACATGAAACTATCACTAACAACCAAATTGTATGTTGATTTCGAAAATTTCAGGAACATAAACAGTTTACTTTACGCCCAAAATTACTATATATATGACAGGGGTTTCACATAACGTAAGCGGTTACGAATATATTTTAGTTGCTAACGATGACAGTGGAGCTAAATTAACAACATAATGTTAAGCGAGCCGAAAATGTCTACATAATCAATAAATTCTCTTCAGTGACTAACTTATTGTATTTTAATTGTAATAATTTTCATGCATTAATGATGGATATATTTATGCAAAATCCATAGATGACAAATTCAATAAGAACCAGGTTCATCTTAATAGCATTCTCCTTCTTTTTCTTCTTCACCTAACGAGTACACGGATCTGGAGACCACAATCTCTCTAGCAGATTCACTTGGCAAATATCATTTCAGTAACTATTGATTTTACAATTAAACATTGTGATCGACACATAATATCTTGATCGTACTTTTAATTCTCGACTTACCAAAATGGTATACAATATCAGATTGTCTAAAACATACATACTTCAAATACTTTTATATTCAAATTTTTATGTGTAATCTGTTATTAACATGATTTGTCGACAGAATGTATATGAAGCAAAATAGGATACATAGATTTTATTACCATTATTATTATATTAAGCAACAGACATTAAATATTTACTGTATGCTTCTACTTGTAAATTCGTCTTTGACGTACATTCATAAAAGAATTTATTTCAACTCAACATATCACATGGATCTCCATAAATTTGATTTATTATGCTTTCATCTAATATTTCTTTGCAGATAAAAGCCAGCCCTCGATATATTACATCAATACAATACACCGTACGTACTTGTACTGTTCTTCGTTTTTATCCGGGTTCTGTGAAATCTGATGTACAGATAATTGTAGAATACGTAAATGACCTCAATGTGACTCAAACACAAATTCTGCAAGCAATTCAGTTGGGTTCGCAATTATATGTAATAGATCTGTTAAAAAATCAGTCAATCGATTCCAATCGTATAATATCACTGAAGTGTATGTTTATATCGTTAAAAATTCATTATGTATAGAAAATACTAATATATATATATATATATATATATATATATATATATATATATATATATATATATATATATATATATATATCCACCATATCCTCCAACTCTGTTAAAGCACCGGACATTCGTTTTTTGTCCTCTAAACACCCCCGCTACGAGATACATCTGTTTTCAACATTATTTTTCTTCCCTTGATGAAATTGATGTAAGTAGCATAATATGTATTAGTTTTGTGCTTCATCATTTCCAGTTGGAAATGTAGCAATTCTGAAGCACATACAGATATTAGTGTTTTACGTAAAAAGATTATTATCGTTTCTCCTAAAAGTTTACGTATTCAAGCAAATAGAACGAAAAGTCATCATTTCCCTTAAATATCAATTAAGCAACTCATTAGTATTTTGTTTATTTCAAACTCCAAGAATTTAAATTTACTCCTGTAAGGGGTTATAGCTGGAGATTTTTGAAAAGTCTTGTAGCAAGATGAAGTAATTGTCAAATGCTGTGTGATTTTAATTGCTTTTATATCCATCGAAGTGATCAAGAATAGATCTAATAATAATACTACTAAGACTTGAAGAAATATTACTTTTATCCTTATGAACATTGTTTAAAAGTATTACATTTTATAAGAAAACTTTTAAATGTATTTATATTTTATTTATTTATTAAAACACATAAGCATTGGTACTAAGAGACACCAAACACATATGCGCCACATAAATCATTCGATCTTTGTGAGAGCTGAACTGTTGCTCAGGTGCCCAAACAGAAGCAGGTGGTTTTCTTGGGGGGGCCACAACCCGAGCCTTTGACCTGAAGGTCTAATCCACAAGGCAATGAAGCACCGTAAGGGGATGCAATCCCATGGTAGCTGGTGACCAATAACTGGTCCATACGCCTTTTTTCTTAGGATCCTGGAGCCCATGTACACTATTGGTTTGAAATCAGGGTTTTCCAACTCCCTTAGGTGGATCCTCCATATCCACCAACTCGGTTAAAGCGCCGGACATTCGCTTTTCGTCTCCGCCACGAGAAGGCGGTGAGTAGGACTCCCCTGGCAGCGGTTGTATGCACGTAGCAACTTGAGAGCATTTCAAGAGGGAGAGCTATCCCCACTGTCGGCCGTACTAGGGCATTCGGGAGACCAGGAACTAATTAGGGAAGAATAATGTCTGCTTATTTTATAAAAAAAACTAACATCTTCAGTAATAAGTGTGAAGACTCAACTTAGATATATAAATAGATTATTCGGTATAAACCTTGTAGTTTATTGTTCTCTTCTATACATATAAAACGACTATTGAAATGCTAATAATTAACTACTAGAGAATTCATATACGTGAAAATTGGAAATTCGTCAATTTCCATTCTATGTTCATTTTCATGAACACTAATTATCATGGCATTAAATATTGTAATATAATATGGGACTACGAGGCAATGCTCATCCATGATCTCTCATGCGAGGTTCGATTGGTTGAAGCTAGACGGTAACACCGTTGGACGATGGCTTGGTGGTATAGAGATTAAGCGTTCACACGCGAGACCGAAAGTCCTGCGTTCTAATCCCGCGTGCGGGGTCGTGGATGCGCACTGCTAAGAAGTCCCATACTATGATGATGTGGCCATTCAATGCTTCCAGATTTTCAGTGGTGCTTCAATATACTTAGTTATTTCTCAGTCGTACGATATGTTCACTCCTAATCCAATTAAGTGTTTTTTTCAGTCCCGTTAATTATTTTGATATGACTAATTGGCGCGACTATAATTTTGGGATGAACAAATCAGAATTAGGATATCAGTTTTTTGGATTTTGGTGAGAAATTTGTTCATCCATTTAGCTAAATAGTGTCTCATCAGTTCATGATGGAAACCTTGAATATAATTTCTAACCGTAACCATCAACTTTAAATCAAAATTCTAATTCCTCACACTGGTTTATAACCATCATTTGGTTCTAGTTAGTAGGTGGACATTCTGAAGGTCACTTTAGTGTCTCGCAAAGGTCGTTCATAAAAAATAGTCTCACCAATTGATTACTAACATTTATTCATGTATATTTTTGTAATATGTCTGGAGTACTTACCTATTTGTTGTACTATGTATGATCATTAAAACTGAGTCGGCAACTCAAGTCAATACACACAGCAGCACGATTGATCAATATACCAATTCACATAACACACGCTACCTGCAAAGTTTATACAATATACGTGTGCATGAAATATATAATTCTTATATATTGTGTAAATTGTTAACCATCTTTATTAACTAATATCAATCCACTGTTCTTCATTAATCTGTTTAGTAATTATGCAAAAAGAAACTTGTAGTACGATCGCATCAAAATGTTCACCACATGCTCAATGCGTTGAAAGGTCTGACGGTGCCGTTTGTGTATGTAATCCAATGTGGATAGATTTAAACATGCAACAGCCCGGAGAACAGTGTATAAGTACGTTTAGTCACGTAATGCATAGCCTTTCACCTTGCCCTCTTCCTCCAAAAAAACTATGGTGACAATTAGCATCACTTAAAATTCATAACTGCGAAGTAAAATATCTGAATATAACACTGCTTACGCTAAATGATTTATAAGTAGTCAATGACAGTACGTGTTTCAGTCTTGAGTATTAAAAAAATCACATCAATCAAGTTTCCTTGTACTTGATTTTAATTACCTAATATGAGATACAGTAAATTGAAAAGTCAAAATGCTTATTCTTGTAGCAACATAATAAATTGTCCATCCGAATCCGGCCGACAATTATGGCTCATTAACCACACATTAGTAAACAATCGATGACCAAGCAATGTAAACATACTGACTTTGCAAAAGGTCGATCACGATACGAATAGCTTTTTTCTAAAGTATGTGACTGGAGTAATATGTGTAAATGTGTCACGGACATTTAGGGTTTGTCAATGCTTCTATCTGCAACGATCTTATCATCAAGAATCCCAAACACAGTCGAACCAGAAGTCGGGAATGAAGAAGTTCCAAGATATATTTGCAAGTTAGTATATATATATATAAAACTAACCATCTACAATCTAAAGACCCTTCTCAACTTTTGTTGAAGTTCATTTCAAAATCAGTATTTTCTTTAACTAATGTCACACTAAATATACATGTCCTCTCGAAATTCTGTTGGCTGGGTATCATGTGTATTCTAAATTGATAAAGAAGTTACCAACATGAAAAACTGTTGTATAAGTACATTTGTTTCGGGTATCACTTCACTTTTCATTTCTTACTAGCTGGATTTTTCGGTAACATTGATATACTGAATTCAGATAGCTATATTTCTAATCCATGGTTGGCTAGAGGAATGTTTTTCTGTATATTTATAAGTAGTGAACAAAATTACCGTTATATACAAAACCTGAATTTAAATTACAACTCACCCCAAACATCTATTTAATGAAGTACTAGATGTTCGTTTAATTGTATCCTAAATTTATAATAATCACCGATAATATCAATAATCCCCGTAAAAAAAATTACTCAGTAAAGTCTCACAACTAAATTCAAGATAATTTATGAATTATTTACCAAATAATTCATTTTTATTGGTTGTTTGAATCTTTCCAATGACGTTTAGGACTGTAATGATCAGCAGGTATATCCAGCTGAGTCCCAAATATAACGAGAAATGCATCCTGGTTCCCACTGCTAACCACCATTCAACTCTACTTATAATAGTTAGCAAATATCTTAACACTTATCAGCGCATTAGAACTGCATTGAGTAGAAACAAAACACAACTTTAAAAATCCCTTTGTGCAATATTTGTAACAAAAATAATAATAATAAATCCCTGATAAACCTATTTTTAGAAGGAATCTAATAATCTAGAAACATTGTTGGCATATTTACTAGTTGATTTTGAGATGGTGGAGAAGATTTGTAGCTCAGGTGGATGATTTTGGTGGAGTTTTGTTCTCTGAGCTGGATGGTTTGGTCGTGGAGCTTTCAAACCATCCAGCTCAGAGAACGAAACTCCACCAAAAACTAGTTGATTTATTCAACAAGATGTGTTTCAACATCATTGTGTTATTTCAATAATTCTTTTTTCTTTTCAGTAAGTCCAACTGTAATAGCGCTAATTGTTATTGGAACAATCCTGATCATAATAATATTTGCCGCAGGAATATACTTTGCTCTTCGTACAGGCAGAAATGGTCAACGTTTTATACATTCATTTGCTTAGCAAATAAATATAATTTAATAATACTCATTATACATAGATCCGAAAAGAAAATATAATCAGTATGTACATTGAATAATCATAATAATTATAACTTATATTTCGATATTATTTGTATTATTTGATTGAAAAAGGAAAATGTATTTACTATAAATTTTCAGGTTGAAAGAATTTTCTGTAAAATTTTATTGCATAAATTTCTTTTCTTTACATCTACAATCTATCAATGTATTTAATTAAATGTGATATAAACAATTCCATTTTTTGTCGGCTTTGTTTATAAATTTTTATGCCAATTTCCCTATATATTATAATTTCTTTCGATGTTCAGATTCTAATTTACAGAATCATATTTTGGCATCTGATATGTTACACAATAGTGAAAAACATACTCTTAAATTTATTTCAATTCTTTATGTAGAAATCTTTGTATTTGTAAAAAGAAAAGTATATACCCTTTTATTATCATTTTTCATAGTTTTACTTATACAATAAAAATTTTCCATTGTTTTTAAAACGAGATTTTATGAGGTTTAATATATGTTATATCTGTCAGTAATAAAATTGAATAAAACAATTCCAATGAGTCAATATCCTATCATGTTCATTTGTGTATTTGATATAAAATAGTAGGAATGATTAACTGAATAAACTTTCAAACACAATGTTTTTACCATAAACATATCAAGATTTCATTTATGTACCTTTGAACAATAAGTATCGTTGATATATATGCACGAGCTCAGTGAGTCTTTGATGACGTCTGTACTGAAGACTCAGTTTCAGTTTTATTGTTTTATATGTAAACCTAAATAATCTATTATTTTCTTACAATCTATTGAGAAGATTCTTTTTACGATTTCAGTTAATAAATCGGGTGGCATTTAAAATTGTTTGTTCCGCATAAAACGGTGTCTGAATGACAGGAAATTATTAACTTTAAGACAAGATTCCATCCACAACATAAAAGTCCTTGTTTTTAAAAAGATAGTGTGAACTAAATGGTTATAGCAAAATCATGGGTTGCTTTCTAGTGAAAATTCGAATAGTTTTGAAAGGTTTTTTTCAATAAAATAAAAAGAAATAAACAGCTATTTATTTTTAAGATTTAGGACATGATTTTTAAAAACTGAGTAACGTAAATCTGAAATTCTCTTACATTTCCATTTGAACAACACATGTACGTTATAGTCTGCTAAAAGAATTAGTTCATTCCTTAAACCATAGTTTGTTGATGATAAATCAAGTACCTAGCTAATTTCCATTACACAAGTGAAGATACTATATTCACATTTAGACGAATCTACTATTATGTATGTATATAATTTTCTAACTTAATTTCGTGAGATACAACCAGTTAATGTAGATGATTACATCATGAAAACAATCTAATATTGTAGTTTAAATCACCAACCAATGTTAGCTAGGCTACCATTGAAAACCAGGAAGCGTAAGACAATTCCTGCATCCTAGAACCCAGGTGGTCTAGCGTGCGAAAGTCTAATTTTTAGTCCACAACTGTAGCATTTGATGGTGAACATTTATAACTTCAATCACTTCGCAGTACTGCAAGATTATCTTTGGTAGCACGGTGTGACTAGGAGACTTCAGCCAAGTTGCGTGTGAGACGGTTATCTACCCCAGACTATGGAAAGTGGTATTACAATATCGCGAATTGATGAAAGCTAGGCATGTACAGCACTACATTCTGTCTGTGGTCAAGAGATTAAGCGTTTGCATACGAGACCAAATATCCCGGGTTTTATCCTTTGCAGAGGGGTTGAGGATGTGCATTAGGTAGTCTCATACTAGGATGAAATAGATGTCTAGTGCTTCTTGTTTTCAATGGTGGCTTAGATGTTGGGGATGCTAGATAACCAAATCACTTGGTAAACGTCTCATTTTTGTAATTTTATTTTGGAAATTTAAATGATACCAAAAACAACTGCGTTATGGGAATGTAAAAAACGAAATAATGGAAAGACCACATTTTCAAATACGAAATATATGAAATGAAAATAAAACAATGATAATAGTTCAATACCACGATAAATATTGACATAAAACATACTTATTTTGTATCTAGTATTCAAGCTTCTTTCCATGGAAAGCTGAAACTTTTGATCTTTTAAAGAGTTGAAGACGAGGAAATCTTATTAAGCTTGTACAGACTCGATGACCAACCTTGAACTCAACATGTGGGTTAGCCTAAATGATCAATCGACTGAATGTTCAAAGAATAGTAACTTTAAATATTACATAATAATTAGTACTATTTTAGATGGTATGTAGCTGAAGAGAATCTATGAAATAATTGGATCCACATCATTCTTCTACGATCACTGTTCTTTCTTTATTCAAATTTATAGATGGGACAAACTGTGTCAAATAAGTGATCTAAATAACTGTTCCTAAAATTTACTATTGTTAAACAGGTTTAAATGTCATTTTTCGAAGCCTTTTCCGTTTTTAAACTTACATGCTTCACGAAATATGTGAATTTTAACTTATTGAATTCTTTTGAACAGATTTATTTTAATTAAAAATGAAAACAATTGAGGTTTAACATAAAATGTGTTTGTTTTTCAAAGTAATTTGAAGGTCATTAATACCACATGGTATTACTTTTCTACTATTCATGCGAAAAATGGATACATTAACATATGATTCAATAAATTAAATTGGTTAGATGAAAGTTTTTGATAAATCAATCAAGTGTGTACAATTGTGTTGAAGAAATGAAAATAGAATTTTCGAAATAGTCAATACAAATAATAATATGAGAAATTGAAGAAACTAATCTCACAATAAAAGTTGGACTCAAGAAAGAAACATAGAAACAAATGACTAAGATCCAATAGAAAGTCAGTTTTTATCACAGATTGATATCAAAAGTAGAAAACCCTTACAGTCACCCTTACATAAGGTCGAGCTCAGGATACTTAGATCTCATCACAATTAAGTCAAATTCAAGTTCCAAACGAAGACACCATTTTATACTCTTACTATTTACACCCATTTAAATAATTAAAATTAATCTTTAAGCTGAACAATCCACCACTAAACTAAATAATAACACTGAGTAAACAAGAGATTCAAACTGAACGTATTAAGCATCAATCAAAAGGGACTAATACTAATATATTCATATGATGTCCGTGAGAAGCAACTTATAATAATTCATATCTGTCATTATACTACAGACTATTAATCTTATGACTTAAACTCAGTCTTCAAAGATAGTTTTTGTCAACCAACACAAAACTAATTTATATTGACAGAAGACAGAGAAATATTTGTTAGTCGTTTCGTTCTACGTAGTTGATTTAAACCACACGTATTATGTAATACGTAATGCAACTTTCACCGATGATTCTTCAGACAGATTTTTCTTAGGAAATTATCACGTCATCTAAGCATCTATCATAAGATGAATATGTTGCATAAATTAGTATAAATCTTCATTTCTAGTTTTAAGATCTCTCTCATTTAATCAGTGACTGGGAAAATAATCCCACATATTTGGTCAAATTTACGACGCACATTGTGAGATTTGAAAAACTGACAGTGGTGAAATCCTAATACGAGAACCGGATATTTAAAAGGTAGTTAACAATGGCGATAGTGTTATATGATTAGAAATCAAAGTATGATTCCGTTTGGTATTTATGTTAATTTAAATGAATGACTTCATTTATTTATTGATAATGAATCTAACACGTGATGTTAATTTTTACTTCGTTTGGTTAATATTAGAGTCGGTAATTTACGGAAAAGAATTTTTCAGATTTAACCAGAGGAAATAAGTGACTCAACTTTACTTGCTTAGAATTCAAAATTGGACAAACATATATCCAAATATAGGTAGAGAGTTTAATCATACATATCAAATGTCATAAATATAAAGATCAGGAAATTATGAAAAGTATTAATTAACTTTTATACTTTTCTCAAGGCTTTGGTAAAAGGTTGGTGGTTACTATATCATTTCTTCGTTCAGTGGAAAACTTTGATTAAGTATTTCAAACACCTGTGCTCATAAAAAATCAGATGAAATGTATTATTGAAGATAGGAGTAAAGTGTGTAGTAATCTGAAGTTACTGTACAGTGTGTTACAATGAAACTAATAGACAATTTAAACATTCTCTGTTGGATTATGTTTATGGCCAATAACGGTGAAAGATGTTTCTTCTTTGGAATCAGTACCATTATCATCAACTTCAGGAAATGTATCTGACGGTCGACCAGTACGTGAGATTAAACGAAAAACAATACCTGAGATTTGATATCTATGATTTTTTGGAGACTGAATGCCAATCAACTCCCAAGATGTAGAGGTATTTGTGTACGTAGACCTACAGATGGGGCACTGAGTGCGATTAACACCTGAAGGTCTGCAGCTGCTGGATCCTTGACCAGAAACAGACGATTCCGAACTTGCTGACGGCAACTGGTAACTAATTCCGGCCCTAAATAAAAGTAATGTTAAAGTACAGGTAAATAAGCTTGAACATAAAAATATATTTAGATATCACACATAAGTGAATGAATTATTTATAAGACTTACTGAAGCCGAATATAAGGCACACTTAAGATAACTATAATTTTATTGACCTTCACTGTGTAGGTATTTTGACACCTTAATATATAAAACATTCTGTAACCAGTAGATTGTATATAACTATCCAATACCTATGGAAGGCAACTATGCATAATTGGAAATCCGAGGATTTCGGGAATGCATTCCAGCACGCACCAAAAATGGCTTCAGCGGATAAAAGAGTGGATAAAATGGGATGAACTCATTACATTATTACAACTGTGACAGTAAAAACAAAATGTCGACTAGCTTACCAAGTAGCAAGTATATTAACCAGCATTCTACTCTGTATTTCAGTATGCATATGAAACAATGAATGTAACGAAGACATGTGCGTATTCATTACTCACCGTTTAAAAGAAAAAACAGATCACTCTAAAATATCTTTTCACATGTACTTCAGCTTGATTGACGACAGCTAGAGCAGCAGTAATACTTATGAAAGAAAACAGTCTCAAAGAGCTTTTCAAGTAAATGAATCTCATTTTCAGTGGAATCGAACAATTCAGTATATTTAAAGAATTTCAAATCTAAATTGTTAAAAAAAACCACAATGGATACTTCTATTATATCAAAAAATACTTGAATTACAATGTTATCTAAAATCTATCGTTGCTGTGTTGTCAAATAGTAATATAATAATAAGACAGGCAATTCATTTCTCGACAACAAACTTAATCTAGATGAAAATACTTAGAAAATTACTAGACTTTAGAGCAGTAGTGGATTAACTGAAGAATGGATCCACTATCCTTAGTATAAAAGTGCCATTATGCTTAGTGAGTCAGAAAACAGACCATGTAATAAAATGCTGAGATATCTAAACAGCCTGAGCAACAATATAAGAAAGTATGAGATTAAGATGTATTCTTCCAAATGCAAGATAAGGCTTCTGAAGCGATGTCCTGATTACTAGCTTAAGGGTAAACAATGAACTACTCAAGCATGTTAACCACTTAATGATTCACGAGAGCCTCATAAACCCGAGCTGGTTGGCAGTTGATATTTCACCACGGTTACAAACTGACCTGGTACTTGGGAATCCGTGTCACTGATCGCATACAGCGCTTGGTCATTTAATATAGTTGAAGGTGGAAGGCATGAAAGCATTTGACCACCGATAGCTTAAGAGCATTTCTCGTACACAGTAGGACTACTGATACTTATTTTAAACGCAGCGTCAGCAACGAAGTTAGGAGATCTACTGACAAAAGCCTTGGCTTTGATGCAAATAGTTGAGAAAGAGGTCACATTCCCAGTTAAGCCCTACCATTAAGAGTCATAGTGGGTAGAATGAGAATTATTTATTTTTTATTTGTTTGAACACATATATATTGGTACAGGAGTGCGCCAAACATATATGCGCCACACAATTTCACTTCATTAATTGCGTGTGGGCTGCGTTACTGCCCGGGTGCCCAGACCGAAGCAGGTGGTTATCTTAGGGGGCCACACCCCGAGCCTTTGACCTAAAGGTCTAACCCACAAGGCAGTGGAACATCGTAAGGAGATGCAGTCACATGGTAGCCGGTGACCAACGATTGGTTCATACGCCATTTGTTCCCGCAGGATACTGGTGCCCATGTGCACCATTGGTTTGGAATCCGGTTAAAGCGCCGGACATTCGCTTTTCGTCCTCTCATTTTCGTAAACAACACCCCCGCCACGAGAAGGCAGTGAGTAGGACTTCCCTGGCAGAGGCTGTATACGCGCGGCCGAATGAGAATGAGAATAGACTGAAAAAAACCTTGAAGACTCGAACGAAGCATCAGTCCGTGAGAATGTTTACGGAGGGTTTAGGCTGTGTAAGAAATCCACCTATCGGGACCCAGGCGAAAACTGAGAGTTGTGACCGTTGACCTTATATAACACGCCTAGCAAACCGTCACAGTAGTAGTGGCGTAGCTGCACTTTTTATTTCATACTAAACTACATGTTAGCCATCATTTCGTAATTTCCGTTCTTATCTAGTTTGTTTCTTCAAGACATATTCTAATGTATTTGGTGTTATTATTTTTACTCCAGCTACTCGATACCATTTTGTGACTGGTTATTATAGTTGCATTAGTACTGCAGACATCTAAAGCCTAACAAAAAGTCAATGTATTCAGATGTCTTCCATTAATTATGGGGAAGCATCGCTACAACTGCTAGCTCTTTGTTAAAAAACCAAAGTCAGTAAATCCTGCCATAGTAAATCGTACAGCTTTACCCTTGGACCTTAAAATTCCCGCTTTTCGTCTTCTACCTCACACAGCTCTATCGGATCATCACGCTAAGCACCCTTGGCTATCGAGTTGAGCAGAAGCCACAATCCGTTATAAAGTTGTGTGAATACCTAGATCGTTATTGGTATTCAAGTGCCTCAAAGACCATCCAGCAAAGAATGCTATACTGCCGTGTAATATCAAATGAACAATACATCGGACCATTACACTCTACCACAGCAATAAAATCTTACTCTTATATATGGATGAATGGCTTGTCTAACATAATGTCAGTACATAAAACTGCAGATATGAAATATCACGGTATATTTAGACTTCTCACTTAAAACATGTGTGGCATATACGACCAACAAGGACTAGGTCTATTTAAACATTATCTCCAATTGTATATTAAATGTCGTGCAATTACATACCCTTACTGTTTCCTGAATTCACTTTTACTATTATGATTCTAAGTCTTGGTTTATCATCTTTGTGACCCCTCTATGTAGTCATGTAAAGTGTGATAACTAAGACAGATAAGTTTTTTGTCTACTTGACAAGTGAACATAGAAATAAAATGATCTTGAACACTAAGTATGACGGGTCTCACAACGCCGTGAAATTCGCGTACTTGGAGCCCTTCTAAAATTGATTAGGTATTTTGCTATTCTCTGAGTTGTAAGGAATGGAACAACGTAATGTCCGTATTTATGAAACTCACCAACCAAAGACGATACAAATGACAAAAACTTCAAAAATCATGAACTTCGTATATTTTACTCAGAATGTAAACCAAACGTCGAACATTTGCGCAGCTTCAGGAATGTATAACGAAAAACAGTGGCATTTAGATAAGCTGTCGGCAACCGGTAATAAAACGGCGAAACCGCTTGATGTGAAGCATCTTATGATAAAGTAACAGGCTTTCACTACAAAATTTATTTATTTATCTGAACACAAATATTGGCACAAGAATGCGCCAAATATATATGCGCCACACAAAAGCTACGTTTCAAATACTTTAAATTAAATCAGTCGACATAGCTTACTGGTGAATGCTTGCATGATCATGGACTTAATAGCGAATCACGAAGTACGACAGCATATTTCTACACATAAGAATTCTAGGTTTCTTGAGTTGAAAACACTTCGACAAAAAAAGTTAATAACTTGGCAGCTTCATTAAAGGATATATGTGTCCAAGTTAACGAGCATCAAACCAACTAATCTTTAGTCTCGCTTTGTAATTTTTGAGTGTTGACTCTTCGATATTCCATGAATACATCAACACTGGGATGCAAGTATACACAGCTGACTAGTCCAAAAAACAATTGTGTATTTAGAACTCCCTGCTATCTAGAATCCAAATATACTGAAACAATATTCTTAAGAGCTACATGAATATCCTAAATACAGCCATGTTTATTATTTTTTGGAACTTCAACAACAGGACTCTGGATTCAGAAATTCCGCTATGCAAAGATCCAAGAGTGGAATCTAGGGTTTGAGCGAATGAATTTATACTATGCTTAGCTGCAAAGAAGCAGTAAAACGGCAACTGAATCAGAAAGTTAACTCACCATTTGTTAATGCATGGTTGACAGAATGAGTGCATACAAGCAAGAACAGTGTCGGGCTCTCTATCCAAGCAGATACAACAAGGATCATTGGAAATTTCCTTAGCAAAATCCCTAAAGAATATTAGATATATTGATTAAACAACAAGCTACGGCATCTCAGGTTGAGAATCAATCAGTGACTTGAAGCGGATAATCTCATCATATAACCGCAAAAATTCGATAAGCTCATAAGTTCTGTATATTGAACGGTTTTTCTTTGACTAGTATTCTCGAAGTTCATTCAAATAGCTTACAATTCTACAGAAGACTTTAGCCGATAATCGCCAGAAAAGGTTTTCCTGTTGTTTTTTCAAAGCGAACTTTACGAAAGAACACTGTTCTTCAAACGTAGTGATACACCTAAATGTAAGTAGAAAATACATACTATTTTTACAGTTGATTTAACTGAGAAATCATTTCAACCAAATCCTCATAACTGGTTCTTGACAGTCTAGTCGTCAAACATATGTTTTGGTTTATATTATGAAGGGTCTCATGTAGAGCAAGTTTCATGCAGTAACCCAAAGCTAAACATATGATTGACTTAAATACGAAACTTACATTTTGGTGGGTGTGGTCCAAACATAATCCACTAGAAGCCCTATATGATACACGTTTTGTTTTCAGTGAGCCGGTGAAGAAATAGATACTGCAACTAAAAGTGAACAATCTAGAACATACAGAAAAGATAGGATGCACGATGAAACGGTCGAGCCGACCAAGTAACGAAACTAATGATGGCGCGCAACCTGACCTATATTTAAGCACAGGTTTGAAGAAATGTTTGGAACATTTTGGCCAGCCGACTATGAATAAAAATCATTCGAACAATTACTCTGCTTGAGGCACTCCTAGAATTATTGTTGATTTCAAGGATGGATAAAGAAAGAAGTTTAGCGAGGTTGACAACCCCCCCTCATTGAAAAGAACGTTGCTAAAATACTCTATCCAGGTCCAGATTCTGTAGAATACATCTGTCGAACAGAATGATCCATTATGGAAAAGTTTGAGAAAGGTAAGAGCGGGAACACCTAATGCAGATAGCATGTTTCGGTCACTCTATGTATCATATAATTCTATAGTAAACTTCAAAGTATTCTGTTGCAGTGCTCAAAAGTCACACTGCTGACTGCCACTACAGGGCGAGTCAGTAAAGGCAATGATGTGACATCGATGTAAGACCTTATAGGTTAGTTAGTCATATTTTGACAAATTCACAATAATGAATTAGACCTATTGTTCTGGTGACACAAGTGATACTAGTGACACTCCGTGGACACTAGATTCATTCCTTAAGAGCACCCTAAACTTAATTCACTTTCATCAGCATACCAGTAAACTTGAAACGTTGCATACACCTGGATACTGTCTGTCCGTTTGAAAATTTTCGTCTTCTAAACACTAAAGGTTCAAACACCTTCATGAGTACCAATTTATGATTTAGTCCCATCAACAAAATACCCCAGCATCTACATTCTATTTGCGTAGTTTCAGTAAACCAACTGTATTTCAGACCAACTTGATGATTCCAGCCTTAATCTAGTGGAATAAACTACTCACCTCTGTACGAAGAATCTGTTACACCAGTTATCAGTCTATACTATGAGCTGCCAACTCAACTGGATACATTCGAGGAAGCGCTTTATTTAAAAACATGAATTCTGTAAGTCAGATCGAAATCACAATAAAACCAGTGAGAAACGACAAAGTTTAACTCAAATGTGTGTGGGTTCGGGGACAAGATATGTTGAAATGTACGTTTTTTGCAAAGATAAATATCTTGTAACAAACTGAAACTCAAAATTATGGGTTTCCTGATTCACAAGGAGCAGATACTATTATCTTCGAACAAGATCTTTCCTGTCAGAAAACTTCATTATGAATGGATACAGATGATGAGCCATAGTAAAGGGCGACTAGTTACTGCCTTGTATTATACCTCAAAGCTTGATACGGTAAGCGGAAGATGTGACCATGATGGCTGAGAAAGAAATCAATTATCAGTGATGTAAGTCTCTATGAATTTGTATTTTGGCTTAGTTTCCTCCAAACCGACCTAAAACTAAGATAAGGATGAGATGGTTCACTATATAGCAGTTCAACCAGGTACATTATTCACAATAAATTATCACAATTACGGCGGCCTGCTTGAATATCTGGGCTACCTGTTTCTGCCATCTGATTATTTCAACAAGTTATCAGTTTTTATTTGTTTTAATTTATAATTATGTCCATTAATCGCATAACCTATTCAGGCGCATTTATGAAAAGCCTACGACCTTTCGCTGCACAAGTTAAGAAAAAGTACTATAAAAGGCATCGTGGTGGTTGGCAATATGCGTTAAAGAGAATGAACATTAATCGTATGTCGATTCCCGAGCTTCTTAATTCTAACTGCCGATCACTAATCAACAAAGTGGACTATCTGCAATTCCTGCTTAGTCAAAATACGTATCGTAATTGTGGTGTCATCACAATTCAAGAATCTTGGTTGAATGATTTACAGGATGACTGCCTTGTATCACTACATGATTTCAAAATTTATCGTCAGGATCGATCGAACAATAAAAAAAGGTGTGGTGGCGGTGTAGCTACGTTTGTAAACATAAACTGGTGTCGATCTTCGTCTGTGTGTTTTAAGTTTTCAAATGACTTTATCGACTGTCTAACTCTAAAATGTCGTCCAAAACATCTGAATAAATACAAATATGTTTATGTTACCAATATCTATGTCACTCCAGATTTCACATCATCTGCACTATCTATTTTTGCTGATGAATTCACTGAGTTCGCTGTTACTGCCTTCAGTGATTCACTTTCAGTTGTATGCGGTAATTTCAATTCATGTGACTGTCGCTTCCTTACGTCACTAGGTCACCAAAACGTAGTAGATTTTCCTACTCGTTTGGATGCTCATTTAGACTTCGTTTTCATTAATGATGTGGGTATATATGCGACTCGTAAACGTGCTCCATTGTCTAGCTCAGATCACTGTTTAATTCGTGTTCTACCTAAAGTATATGGAAAGCATGGGAAGAGTACACTCTTACATCAAACCAAGAAAGTCAAATATAGGAATTACTCAGAAGAAAATATCCGAAATCTAAAAAACATGTTTCATACGACTAACTGGGAATTATTTACAGATGACTCACTCGAAAACACTACTGATGTTATCACTTGTTACCTTAAATTCTGTTTTGATATTTGTTGTCCCACTGAAACCATTTTTGTAAGTTTTGATCGGCTTACATCTTCACAACTAAAACGACTACGGAGGATTAAAGAAAGAATGTACAAGGAGAAGAACTCAAATGAAGTTCGTAAGCTAAATGGTCTGATAAACCTAGAGATTAGACGTCTCAACTGCATGTTTACTCAAAAACTCTTATCTTGCAAAAACTCTACAAGTATGTGGAAATTCTTTAAAGAACTTACAGGTGACAGAAAGTTTAGAAGCCATAACCAGCTGAATGTTTGTGACTTAAATAAGTCTTTTGTACGTCAGTCATCTGATGTGATGCTCCCTCTATCCACGGGTTTAAAAAATAGCTGTGTTCATACGTTCACTGAAACTGATGTACGAGGATGTCTCCAGTCACTTAATTCATCTCGATGTTTGGGTCCTGATGGTATCCCAAACCTCCTTTTTAAAAAATGTGCTGACGTTCTGTGTCATCCGTTCACAACTATTTTTAACAGATCTTTCTCATCTAATCTCATACCAAAAATGTGGAGAAAGATGAAGATAATTCCTGTACCCAAGAAAGCATCTGGTGATAAGAATGTAAAATTTAGACCTATTGCAATAACTTCACCTTTCCTCAAAACCATGGAAAAATTATTAATCCTTCCACTTCAGCCTGCGATAAAAGAGCATACTGACCCATACCAGTTTGCATACAGGCGCAAAAGAAGCACTTTAGATGCTGTTGCAGTTTTGCATCACAACATAGTGTTCAACTTAGAAAAGGGTAAGAACTATGTTCGATGTGCTTTTCTAGACTATACTTCAGCTTTTGATTCTATACCAAGACAACGTTTACTTAACAAGTTAATCAGCGTCAACACTGACAGCTGGATAACCAACTGGCTGTGTTCCTACCTCTCTGGAAGGGAACAGTACACTGTGTTTGGAGGAAAAATTTCAGATTCTCTACTGTCTCAGGAAGGTGTACCACAAGGAGCTGTTCTTTCACCTCTTCTTTTCACTGCTTTTCTACATGACCTGCCATCTTCCACAGAAAACACTTTTGTGAAGTATGCGGATGACCTCACTGTATGTATGCCTATATCTTCCTCTTTACATCCCATAGAAATGAATGAGTTTTTGTCTCGTATTGATTGTTGGTCTGTTGGTAATGGTCTCATACTTAATCCGTCTAAATGTCAAGCTGTTAACTTTAGCATGAAACATAAACGGAATATAAACACTATTTTGAGATCCCATAGTGCTTGTACCATCGGAGACTCTTTGATAAACTCAGTGTCGAAGGTCAATTATCTTGATTTCACCTTTTCCTTTGATCTCTCTTGGTCTTCTCACGTTTTATTGTTATCGAAGAAAGTTTTCCGTTTGACTTACTACATAAAGAGACTGCATGCTCTTGGGAATACTCGTCATTTACTATTACAATTTGTCAATTATTGCATATTACCTACTATTATTTACTGTTCTTCATTATTCTTTCCCGGGTTTTTGAGAAAAGACTTTGCTGTATTGCGGAGAGTGCTGAAGGCAGTTAGCAAGGTCTGTGGTGAATCTTTTGAGGTCATAATTAATATGGCTGTGAATAGACATCTAAAGTCATGCAAACTCCTGGGAGGTGTTATTTCATCAGATACTAGCCATTCCCTTCACTCATATCTTTCTCCTTGTATATCTTCTGGCAGAACGAGACGTAATTACATTAAAATTCATGCACGCAAAAGTATAAAAGTTCTATAATACCTTACCTAGCAAATATAGTCCGTGACGAACAGGTTGTTAGAATTAACTTAGTCAATAACTTACATTCTTAACATGTCTTTAATTTTAAAAGTTTGTAGTTTCTTTTGGTTTTTTTTTAAAAATTTTTATTTTATATATTTCTTTATGTATTCGCTACTGCCTTTTTGTTCGTTGTTCAGTAAGTAACTTGTTGAAATACCCTGTGCTGAGAATTCTATATTGTACCAAAATATAATATTGAATAAAGCCATTAATAATAATAATAATAATAATAATCAGTTTTAGGCAGCCCGTATCATAGCATATGTAAATGCTTGGCCTTCCTATAGATCTCACTCCGACAACGATCAAAGAAATCAGAATGACCAGCAGGCGAATCAATAATGGGAAAGCTGCGTGACCTGACAACATGCTAGCTGAACCACTGAAGCCAAAGACAGGATTAGCAGGAAACACGCTCCAGTTTCTATTCAAGTTGATTTTGGAGGAAAAACAAATTCCGACGGATTGAAAAGAACAACACCTCGTCAGGATACCAAGAAAAGGAAATCTTAGCGCGTGTAAGAACTACAAAGACACCACACTGCTTTTGGTGTCAGGGAGAAGTTTTCAAGTGTTTTTGAAACTATTGAAAGATTCAGTAGACGCCCATCTTCTAGATTAGCAGGCTAGGTTCCGTAAGAATCGGTCGTGCAAACACCAAATCGCGACAGTACGCATCATAATTGAGCAATCAGTTGAATAGGATACACCATTATACATCTACTTACATGGTTATGGATCTTTCTTCGCCAATATCATCCGGAATTCATACGACAGACTGCACTGTAAAATCCTGCATTG